TTTTTTTTTTTTTTTTTTTTTTTTTTTTTTTTTTTTTTTTTTTTGAGAGGGAGTCTCACTTTGTTGCCCAGGGTGGAGTGTAGTGGTGCTGGTACAATCTTGACTCACTGCAACCTCCATCTCCTGGGTTCAAGTGATTCTCCTGCCTCAGCTCCCCAAGTAGCTGGAATTACAGGTGTGCGTGGTGGTGCCCAGCTAATTTTTGTATTTTTAGTGGAGAATGGGTTTCACCATGTTGGCCAGACTGGTCTCAAACTCCTGACCTCAGGTTATCTGCCCACCTCAACCTCCCAAAATGTTGGGATTACAGGCTTGAGCCACCGCACTTGGCCCTTTATATTTTATTCTTATTGAAGAATCCCAATTGGCCTTCTGAAACATGGAAAGCATACCCTGCAAAAGCTTCTTGGTTGCAAATCTGGCTTGTCTAGATGAGGTTTATGGAAAACCTGGCTAATTGTTCACATGTGGAGTTCCTCATCTACTCTTGGTCCAGGAATATAGGTAATATCAGAGAAAAATTAGCATGGAAATAGCATTTTAGAAATACAGGGGAAAATGTCACACCCAATTTTATTTTTCAGATGGGTTAGCTTTTACTACAGTCATTTTATTGTTGTTCTTCTCTTTCACAAGAAAAATAGTATCATGATAAAGTCTGAAAATTGGTCTTTTACTTTATCCAAAAAAGATCAAAGATAAGATAAGCAATAAGGAAAAATTCCTTAGGACTTTCCGTGATAACTAAATTACATTTCCCTCAAGAGATTTTCTTTTTGAGCTATCTAGTGGCAAAAGATTCTGAGGTATATGAATGATGGTTAGAAATAGACTCGGTACCCTATTCCTTGATGGTATTTGTGTATGTATAAAAAATTCATGATTATTATTCAGAAGTAGATTTGCTAGCATTTTAAAAAACATGATAGAAACACGCAGAATTTCCACTTTCCCTGGAAAAGCTTTTCCCAGTAAATCTCTCAGCCTCTCTACTGCCATTTTGAAGCAGAATAATTAATAATGTTAGGACAAAGTCTCTAGAAAATGAGCATTCTGTGGAACTCTTGGGTAAATGCTTTCAACTACTGGCTTGATAACTTTTTTTAACCTACATCAACAACTTTCAACTCTTTGTATAGCAAAGTGTGTCAAGGCCTGTGAAGCCTTTGCTGTTTAGCATATGATGAGCACACTTACTTTTAAATAGGATAAAGGCAAATTAGAACATTAGAGGAAGAATTAGTCCCATTCTACAACTCCCAATTCTATGAAATTAGATGTTTCTTCTGCTGTTTTTAAACATGTAAGTATGATATATTTTAAATTTACACTTTCTTTATTCTTTTCATTAAAACAATTTTGGCTGTTATTTTCCGTTGTTAAATAAATTGAACATATTTCACTATAATTTATTTCCTCTGAGAATAAAACTGCATGTGTCTGCAACCAGGAGGGCAAAATGGCTTCAGTATGGAATGATGATAAGAGCAAATGAGTTTTCTCTTGTTATTATTAATAAAATAGATATTGCTAGCCATGTACCTTAGATAAGTCACTTGACTTCCCAGGGCTTTAATGTTAATCTCTGTAATATGTGGACACTTATTTTTTCCTCAGTATGGGAAGCAATGATATAGCCTACTAGGAAAAAGTACAGGCCCTGGTATCAGGTTGTCTTGATTCAAGTACAATTAATAGCTCTTCTGCACGCTCAGTGATTTGAAGTACGTTACTTATTATCTCTGTGCCTCAATTTACGCATCTAAAACGGGGTGCAAATATAGCACATTCCTTAGAGAGTTGTTATAAAAATTCATTGGTGAGTTAATTCAAGTACGTTTCATTAACTTTACCTAGTACTTAACAAGAAATAAGCAATTGGTAGAGGATAATTATTATTATTGTTATAATAAATAATATTAGTATTAATAGTTATTTTTAAGATGAAAGCATAATCTATGTGAATACCTTTTAAAAACGAAAAGGGAAATTTCTTTTGTCACATCTACTAAACAAAGGAGTGTAGGGGCATGAGAAGATTATCCATTTAAGGGCATTTTCCCATTCTATCAAATGGCACCTTGTCTTATACCTTGAAGGTCTTGTTTTAAACTAAACTAAGTAGCAGGTAGAATGAAATGCTTGCTGTCACACACTGCTTTTTCTATAGTTCTTCCAGTCCAACGTTCTGAAAGGGTTTCTTTTTTTTTCTTTTTCTTTTTTTTTTTTTTGAGGCAGAATCTTGCTTTATTGTCCAGGCTGGAGTGCAGTGGCACGATCTTAGCTTACTGCAGCCTGTGTCTCCCAAATTCAAACAATTATCCCACCTCAGCCTCCCAAGTAGCTGGGATTACAGGTGCCTACCACCAAGTCAGGCTAATTTTTGTATCTTTAGTAGAGTCGGGTTTTGCCATATTGGCCAGGCTGGTCTTGAATTCCTGACCTCAACTGATCTGCCTGCCTCGGCCTCCCAAGAGCTGGGATTACAGGCGTGAGCCGCCGTGCCTGCCTCTGAAAGGGTTTCTTTATATAGAAATGTAGGAGCCCCCATGATACCAAACCATCAAGCTGTTACTCTCTATGTAGAAACCAAGGGATCGTGTAGAGCAAAATCCAAATACAAACTGATTCACTCACAATCTTTGTGCAGAATATCAGGCATCATACGGATATTCCTTAAACTTAATGTCTGTTAGTTATTGCTTCTTGACCCAGTAAGAATATTATTATGTGTGATAGAGCTGCAAATACAAGGAATGAATAGAGAAAACAAGAAGTCTTTCATCATGTAAGATATCAGTCCTGTTTAGAGAACAAAAATGAAACAAGAGATGATATCCAGCAGTCATACTGGTTACTTGTACGAATGAATTTCTAAAATCCTACTTCATTTTCCAGATGAAACATATTCCAATAGGAATTAAGCCAAGTAGTAAGTCATTAGTATTTGGCTTATGCCTTATGTGGAATATGGGACAGCATAATTAAATCAATAACTGCTAAATTATCTAAATTGACAGGCAAGTGATATAGGGCACAATAAACAATGGCATAAACAAGTGCAGTTTTTAAAGAAGAATCTTACAAACTAGCTTTGTGTAATATTATCCCTATATATTCTTCTTGTTCCAGGAACTCCAGATTTTCTGGGAACAAAATTGAATAATTAGAATGTTTTTAGAATACATAATAAAAAGTCAAATACAAAGGCTAGACTAACTGCCCAGTTAATAATAAGCAGCCCCATAGGTACAGAGAGTCACAAAATGTCATACTTACTTAAAGTAAATACGTAGAATGACATAGAACTCCAACAACTAAAAAGGATCATTGTTATAGTGTGACAATAGGTACATTTTCAGGCTTTTAATTTTACTTTGCTGATTTATTTTTATTAAACAGTAGAACATTTATCTTTGATCCAACTTGTTTTGGTCATGCCATTTTGTACTTATGATTTTAAAATAAATTTGAAAAATTATTATATTATGTACCATAGATACTTCATGAGACTTTTCCTAAACAATATATTGGTTCTGTTTGACTAACCTCTTTTTTATTTCTTTAATGCTACTTCATGTCATATGTCATATAAATTTTACAATGCCCTTGCATATAATAGAATAACCCTGTGCTGTTTTTCTGTCCCCAGAGCCACAGACATGTACATTGAAAGATTTCCTCTGTGCCAATGGGGACTGTGTTTCTTCAAGGTTCTGGTGTGATGGAGATTTTGACTGTGCAGATGGCTCTGATGAGGTAGGCATTTTTGTAAAATCAAAAAGAAAGCAGTTCTTTAGAACCACATTTGTAATTATTATTACTCAGTCCAGTAAGTGCGGCAAGGACAGCTCAGAAATACACTTTACTCCTGACACACTGAGATAAGTATTATATCCGTGTGCTGGGCTGCACATCCCCAGCACAGGGAATAGCTCTTGTGCTGCTATTGACAGTTAATTTTATAGTCTGTTTTACCTCAACTGGTGAATAGCTGAGTTGGGAATAGGATGTTTGAAAACCCTATTCCCTATAGCTGATGCCCCTGCCATCTGTGAATTAGTTCATAAATTTGCTGCAGTATTTATAGTCAGGACTAATATTTTTATGCATTTTAAACAGTTTCTTCTCCCCAGTCTCTTTCTTCAATAGTTATAGTCTTACAGACATCGATGTGGGTCATCAATTTTCATGAAACCACAGGTTGAGCTTTGCTTCCGTGATGAATCACAATCCATTTATAATAAGGCCTATGTACACACAGCTTTAAGTGAAAAAGTTTACAATTTCTCTGGAAAATTCTATGAACTTAGTCTGTGCTAACATTTATAAAACTTCATACAATTTGTTATTTATGAATTTATGTCCTTATGTTTCAGATATTAATTACTCCATGATGCTTTAAAAATAATAAACAACCCATGATTACATATATTTTTCTCAGTCAAATCTAAAAGGAACCCAGCTCTGATATCCCAGTATCAGTGATTTCACATAGATAATATCAGAAACACAAGGTCTGCACAATCAAGTCCAGTAAGAAGTGAAGGAAAAAGAGCTCTGGCCGGGCGTGGTGGCTCACGCCTGTAATCCCAGCACTTTGGGAGGCTGAGGCGGTCCGATCATGAGATCAGGAGGTCGAGACCATCCTGGCTAACATGGTGAAACCCCATCTCTACTAAAATACAAAAAAATTAGCTGGGCATGATGGTACACGCCTATAGTCCCAGCTAATTGGGAGACTGAGGGAGGGGAATCGCTTGAACCTGGGAGGCAAAGATTGCAGTGAGCTGAGATCGTGCCACTGCACTCCAGCATGGTGACAGAGCGAGACTCCACCTCAAAAAAATAAAAAAATATATATTGTTCCACAGCGTACACCATGTATCCTGTATTGCAATGATTCCCTAAAGCTCTGCTGCTCTGGTTGAGAAGCATATGAACTCACCTCTTATTAATGCCCTCCCACTGACCATAGACTTGGCCAGAGGAATTTTGCTGCAGTTCTGGAGGTTTCTGTGTTTCAGTTCCCAATTCCCTAGATATCCACTGATTTCCTGCCTCTGGGGGAGACACTACAGGTTTCTGCTCTTTACAGAATTTATGCAAACTAGGTCTCTTCCCACCCTGAGGCATTCCCTATAGGACTGGACAATTCTCCCTTCTCTCACCTTTTTGAAAAGTCACAATAACCACATTCAACAGCCTATATTTTGAAAACAAACACGTGTAATTTCTCACCTGAGGGCTAGCAAAACCTAAGTCTCAAGGATGAGAAGGTCACTCAAGAGAAAAAGTTGAAAAATACAGCACTTCTAGTCGTGGAGCTCTTCACAAAATAAAAGGCAAACCTTTTTTTTTTTTTTTTTTTTTTTTTTAACACAAAGGAGAGTTACATTTTTTACATTTACCAGCCACATATTTACCTAACATTCATACATTTGAAAATTACATTAAACTTTTCTAAGGCAGAAAAACACACTTTAATTAAACTCATCCATGAAAATATATTGGCTTTGGTTTTATTTAATATGTCGAACCAATCTGGGTAATATGTAAAACATCAAGAGGTGGGGATATATTGCTTAAGGCTTATATATTTATCTTGAATCATATTCACAAGATGTGCAAAGTGTTTATACAGAATCGAATACTACTTCTTTAAAATCTTATTCGTGTAAAAGTAGATATCCTTATTACCATGTCTCTCATCCCATAAGTTGGTGAACACAGTGATTTGATGGTTAAATATATATCCATATATCCAGACATTTGCATGATAAGGCTCAGAAGAAATGAAATTTATTGTAGTAAAGTCATTTTTCTCTATATTTATAGATGTTTAGTGCAGTCTATATGTAATGAAGTAGCTAACATTATTGGTAGTTGATTTCTATCTTTTTTTTTTTACCATCTAGACAAAAAAAAAGACTGAACAAATGGCTAGAAAGCAGAATTACACACAGAATACTCTCACATTAAGAACAAAAATTGAGAGAATTGTGAAGATAAGTTTCTGTATGAATGAAACTGATAATATTAGCTTGTTAATAACAAAAAAATAAGAAGTTTAAAAAGTTGGTTCAATCTAATTGTATAGCAAGTATTTATCTCTGTGGTACACACAAAGAATGATTATTTAAAGTGATTTTAAATTACAATATTTTTCCTCTACATTTAGCATAATATGTTGTAAGAACAAAAAAGCAAAGAAATCTTAAACTGCATTCATAGACTTACTGTTAATAATAATAGTGGTTCTGCTAATTTGAAACATGTAGGGAAGTTCAAATGCTTATTTATGTCAATGTCATTAGAACTCAAAATTTAAAAGTAAAAGAAAGGAGATATAAATGTAGAAACAAAAAGTTAAGTAAAAATCCTCTCTTATTAAATCCGAAAGTATCTTTATAAGATCTTGATTAATCTTTCTCTTTCTAAAAATATATGATTTCTACTTCTGCCAGTGAAAAGTCCTAGAACCAATTATAAACCAATGGTAATGACTATCCTGAAATTCACCAAGTGGTCTCTAAATACCATTTTCCAATTAAAGGAAAGAAGACTCCTTTGAGATATGCCTAATTTTAGGTCTGAGAAAATAAATTGACAAGATGAGCTGCTAACATCTGAGATTATTAAGAGAGTGTACAAAGTGCACAAGAACAAACTTAAAGGAACTTCCACTGACAAAAGGGACAATTTGAGCATTAGAAAGAAAAATGACTGGAAGGGATTAAAACCCACACATACACACACATACACACACACAATGTATAAAAATCAATGAGTTCACAACAATATTTTAAAAAGCAAAAGCTCATTAGTCACTTTGGAGGTTGCAAAGGTAACAACATTTTTAGGATGCAATTAGTCAAATTCAGAATGTGAACTATTCTATAGTATAACTGACCTGTTTTCTTCAAGTAGTAAATGGCATTTAAAAAAACTGAAGAATGAGAAATAGTTATACATTAAAGAAACTTTAATTCAAGGTATAGATCTCTTTTGAGTCCTTACGTTACCAAACAGTATTTTATATAGCTAAGTGACACACCTGTGCCATTGGTCATTGAGCTGTTTTACTTAAATGAGCCCACTTGCAGAGATAATAATTCATTACTTCTAAAAATGTTTACTGGATAGTTATTATAATCATGTGACAGTATTAGATACTTGGTTCACAGACAGGCATGATCTTTATCCCAGTAGAGCTGGGATAAAGTTATATGAGATGTTAATTTATATTTGTTTTCTACATTTACTAGTTTATTAATTTATTAATTCACTCAGCGGTTTGTATTGAATGTTTACTACATCCCAGGCACTAACAGTATGGAGAATACAGTGGTGAATAAAACACATGACATCTCTTTCTTATGACATTCTCTAATGTCTTTCACATCATTTGCTATTATGTAGCTTACTCCAGATGTCCCACATATCCGATTATCCTTACACATAAAAAGCTTTTTCTTAAGTAGTTCCATTTCTACTTAAACTGTCGTCACAAAGAGAAAATTTCAGAAATTTGGAAAGTGAACTCTCCTTCCTTACATGGGGATGAAACTGGGAAGAAGCAGCAAGTAGTAGTTCAACGTGCTTTACTTGCTAGGAGTTCCATAAACCATGAGATTGTTACACTTTCTGTGGAAGAAGCAGACAAGTACATTTTGGCAAAAATAGAAATTCCCTAACAACAGAAAACATCATCCCAGTGAGACACTTCATTAGAGTAGTCCATTTCAACCAGAGTGTTCAGACCCAGGAAAGGTGATTTCTAGTGACTCCATTTCATTCATCTCATATGCAGATCCTCAAAGGTAAATTTGCCATCTTGTTTGACTTCCACATAAAATCTGTATATGGACTAGCAGAAATGAAAATGTTGACAGTTCATTTCATAGTGCTTTAGGGAACAATACCGGAAAAGAAGAGAAAGAGAATTACAAACAACTAAACTGTAAAAGGACTGGTGCAAAGGAAAAGAGATGGAGAGAGGGGAAAGAAGGAACACCAGGGGAAGCTTTGCCAATGCAAAACAGATTTGTCTTAGGATTTTTGTTTGTTTTGCATTCCATATCCCTAGCCTTCTTCTCCCTCTAGCCAATAAACTGGATGTAGTTGCTTAGAATTAATTTTTGGAAAAAAAAATTGTTTTTAAACAAGATGTGGCTACATTGCCTAGACTGGAGTGCAGTGGTATTCATGTGTGCCTATCATAGCACACAACAGCCTCAAAGTCCTGGACTCAAGCAATCCCTGCCTCAGCCTCTTGAGTGGCTGGGGCTATTGTGCCAGCTAGAAGTAATTCTTTAACCCTTTTATTATCTCACAATCTTCATTATCACCTACAATTCTTAAAAGTCCATTACCCCATAACTGTCTACTGAATAATCGTACTCTCAGAGTAACTTAATTAGCATGATGAAGCCATCAAATTTGTGTTCTTTTTTTCCATTTTTTGTTTTATTATGACACACAGGGACAAATCAAAGTGGAAAATTGTTATTATTCTGTTATTTAGTTATGGGCTTAAGATATTAGCATCTGAGCCACTTTTATACAGTAGACATGGTTCCTACACTTCTGGGTTTCTGTGCATAAGTTGTCTAGTCTTTTAGTTTGTAAACATTTTTCTAAAAATGCAATTTTAATTACATCTGTGTTGTTTTTGACAGAGAAATTGTGAAACAAGTTGTTCCAAGATCACATCCAGGTTTTCTGTACATAAGTTTCCTTATCTTTTAAGTGTGTAGACGTGTTTATAAAATTTTAATTTTAATTATATCTCTGTTGTTTTTCATAGAGAAATTGTGAAATAAGTTGTTCCAAAGATCAGTTCCAATGTTCCAATGGTCAGTGTATACCAGCAAAATGGAAATGTGATGGCCATGAAGACTGTAAATATGGGGAAGATGAGAAAAGCTGTGAGCCAGGTAAAAGGATTGAAGTGATATTTCATTTAGTTAACATTTTACCTTTCTAGAATTTAAATTTAAGCAGCAATATGCAGAAAACAGTGGCAAATATGTCATATGTTTACCATGTTTAAGAAATGGTCTGCAAATCTGTGGATAAATTAATTAGTGTGTTCTTCATATGTTTTGAAAGTGTTTTGGAAGATAAGATCATTACTTATTAATGGAATCCGATCATAATTTCCCCAAATTTGATTTTCTGGTATCTATATCATATTATACCATTTGGAATTGTTTCCCCAAGATAGCAAAGTAAAATCTGTTGAAATTATAAGTACAGTAAAAGACAAGTTTTTAGTTATGGAAATGATGATTATGAACTAGAATGTACCCATTTCAATGTGATGCTAGCTAAGAAGAAGCATAATTGTATTATTTGTATTTACATCTTGGGCTAAAATTTGAGTAAAGTTAGAAAGCAAAGCCAGAAAAAAAGATACACTCTTCAATTTATGTGCTAGGTGGCTCTATAAATATACTCATTAAAACACTTCATTTTTAATTATATATTTTAATTACATTATCTTACAGAAAAATATTACTAGTGGAAAACTATACTATAATGTATGTATGACCATAAAAACATTACCTTGAGAGACTAGGTCAGAGTCACAGCTACAAGACTCATACATTACTATGATCCAGTACCATGTCCATGGGCCATATTGTTAATTGATCACTTCTTTCTTTCTTACTAAATACAGACATGTTATTAGACTCCTTATGTACACAGATCCCTAGACAAACACTGCCAATTAAAAGGAGTTAAAACTCAAGGAAAAAGCTTTTTAGTATCCTTGAGCTAAGGAATTCAGACCACGAAGTCATTAAGTAAGTACGATAGACTACATAGTGGTCTAACATAAGGCCAGAAGCCCAGACGTTTGAATGCAAGCCTAGCCAACTGAAGACCATAGACAGAGGCAGCTGTCATAATTTCTGTCAATTAATTAGACTGGGTAGTATTTACATCTTGTGACTAATACACTTACAAATATTACAAACTTGCCAATATTATACTTGTAAATAACATTTAGCTGCTTGTTTTTCTTAATTTCTGCATCATAAAGGAACGCTGCACATTCTGTTAACTCTGTTAATTACACATGTATTCATATTTAAAATCCCCAAACAATGCAATTCTTAGAACCTATTCAAATATTTTATTTATGTCAATGCAACGAAATAGATATCATTGGGTCTATGAGACCATGCCAAGATTTCTACTTTGTGCTTTATGCAGTGAATGTAAGATTAACATACTCAAAGGTTACTAAATATTATTACAGTTTTGAAAGTAATTTGAGACTTCAATAATTTAAAATAATTTAATTTGAAATTGTAAAAATAAAAACTCATGTAACACTTCAAAATCAAAGGGATGAAGGATATCAAGGTTTTCTCTTTCCTTCTATGGACTATTGAGTAAAATTCTTACTGCACAGGCTATTACATCATGAAGTATATTTAATATAATGCAATAATATTATAAATAATTATAAAATTATTTAAATAATTTAAATGAATCTGTAATACCAGTCTTTAAATATATTTATATAGTATAAACTATTTTTATTACCATCTATAAATTCATATACTTATATGTTTATGTTTTTATTTCTAAAACCTGTTATTTTTACTCTATCTCAATCTCAAATTTATAATTGTATTCAGCTTCTCCTACTTGCTCATCAAGTGAATATATATGTGCCAGTGGTGGATGTATTTCAGCATCTTTGAAATGTAATGGAGAATATGATTGTGCTGATGGTTCAGATGAGGTAAAATATATTGTTTAATTAAAATATTTGAATTACATGAATTAGGTTTGGGCAAACAAATGTAATGAAAATAAAGGAAAGAATCTTGATTCTTAGCACAGTTTAACATGTTGGATATGTACATTGAATGCAATCATTTCAGCAAATACTTGAATCTTCATGCTGTCCATATACTAAAGTTCATTCTCATTTGTAGAAGTTATATTCATTAAGACAAAGTGAAAGGAAGTGCATGGTATAATAAATCTCTAGTATTATAAGCTGCATGTTTATTTTGACCATGATTGTGTCATTATCATTAATGAAAACTGCAGTGTCCATTTGTATTTGAACAGATGGACTGTGTGACTGAATGTAAGGAAGATCAGTTTCGGTGCAAAAATAAAGCCCGCTGTATTCCAATTAGATGGCTGTGTGATGGAATTCATGACTGTGTGGATGGCAGTGATGAAGAGAACTGCGACAGAGGTAAGGTATTTGTGTATGTGAGTGCCTGTAAATGAGAGAATGAGAGTTAAGGTGCTGTGCAGAATATACAGTGTGTGCTAGAGGCAGAGGATAGAATCTTTAAATGATTCTCTTTCCTCTTCCAAGTTTCCTTACATAGCAGCCTGGTCTAAATATGCAAAATCCAGATCATTGTCAGACAGAGCATAATCTCAATCTGGGCATGACAAACACTAGCACTGGGCAAGAGTTTACTGAGTGTCTACCATTTCAGACTAGATGCCAGGTCAAGTATAGGGATATGTGGAGAATACAGAGAAAGTAGTCAATAAAACCATGACTACAAAAGTATATCCTGAATTTTCTGTACATTCTTTCCTTTCACGTTGCTTGCCTTACTCTGAAAACATAGGAACAACAGATGGCATACTCAATTGCACACATTCATATGCTGTATGATATCTAGGTATAGGCCGTGCCCCAAATCCCTAAATTTCCTTATTGCAATATCATTGAGAAAATAACCTACATTTTTTTTGTCAGTCTAAAAGACAACTTTCTGTTTTGTCATAGATTATTTCCCAGCTACGTGAAGATCATTTTCTGACAGATAACCACATTTTAGTTTCAAGCCACCACATTAAATGTAGCAATGGTTACTACTTAGAGTTATTTCCCAAAGCAATTGTGTGCTGAAGATTAAAATGATCACAAATGAATCCATATTTGCTATTTTCATTTTGTTAAATACATGTTTTAAATACAAAATTTCTTGTGACCTGCTTACAAAGTCTCTCAATAGAGTTTACACTTCTTGGTGTTTAGAAGATCATTAATAGAGATGGTACTACATATTGCCACATGATTCAAGGCACTTGAATGTGCACTCTAGGTTTACATACTTTAAATCTGTCTCACATGTTTACTTTTGTGAATATGTAGTCACATAAGAAAAACAGTATTTTACTTTCTTTAATATTATTTGAGATGTTTATGGATATCTCCATCCCAAACCTGATAAAGTGTTGTATTATGAAGGAAAAAAATAGTTTTTTTTGTTTGCTTTTTTTTGTTTGTTTGTTTACAGCTCCTTGCAGAGCAGGGCTAACTCATAGGAAGTGCACCCAAAGTAGGCCTTCAATTTCATTTTGAATTTGCTGTTTATAATAGAGAGCGGTGAAATGTTAAATGTCCATAATAGCTCTTTCTACCTTAGGCTAAGTTCTCACACTTGCTGTCTGTAATTGGTCACTCTAGAGACAGCAAACGTTGTGGACAGTCTGGCAGCAATAACTCATGTGACTTTTGTATTCAAAGGTTTGGGGATGATGATTAAGCTACTCCTTGTTTTCCATATTCTAGCGAATCACCTCTGTTGCTCAGCTTCAATCACTACCACCTGCCTAGTTCATTCTCCCATTGCTTCTTGCTTGGACTGGCATAATGCCATGTAACTGGTCTCCCGTACATCCTATTTACTGTTACAAGGTTCATCTTATGTAAGTGTCCCTCCGATTGTGTCAGTTTTTACTCAAGGTACCTGATTACATACAAACAATTCAATCTAGTAATCAGGGTTACAAGAAAATGAGCCCATTTTACCCTCCCAGGCTTACTTTCTACTGCGCCTCTTTATGTATTGTATCCTAGCCAAACTAGAAAATCTCAACTACCTTTCAGATCTAAAATTATTCTACTAAATATTTAATCTTAATGACTAAAAAAGAGTTGAGAGCCTTTAATTCAATCATTTACAAATGTTTCAAAGCCCCCTTCCCCTCCATTCATACCTCTAACTTGGTTTTCTTTGCTGCTGGGTAATTAAGCTCCAATGACATATTTTAGTGGTTAAATTATTTGATCTCATATGAATGCACCATAAGGCATTACCACATTCAGATTTCTAGTATTTAATTTACTCCCAGGAAGTGGCGTAGGTATTAGGTAAAGGCATTTTAAGGCATTGAGGAAATGGGATGCCAGAATAAACATCTTTTCTGTTAAATCCCATTTCCATTCATTTCCAATCAGGATACACATGAGCTAATAGGAGCTGAGTGTTGGGAACAGGAATATATGAGAACTGAAGGATAAGCATAACACATTTTCCCAGTGAATCAGTTTTACTAGTTTACTTTAAAAGACAAAAATTCAAAATACTCTGGAATTAAAAGCTGCATTCATACTTTTGAAGGTAAAATATATGGCCTCAAGGAACTGTGGTGCTTGTTCTGGCCTGAGCTTTCAAACTTTACACTTTATATAATACTGGTGGAAAAGATTGGGCGGTTCTCTTTTGAGTAATTATCAGCTTAACAATGTGTAAGTTAGTCAAATAAATTATAAAGTATTATCATGTATTAAAGCTTCTCTCAACCCAATTAAGATGAGAACTCTAGATGTTTATTTTCTGTGATGATGCACTTGATCAGTTTTATATGAACTTTTCAAGGCCTCTGTTATAATTTAGATGTATTATTGTTAATTAATATATACTTTTCTATTTTCCTAATATTTCCTGTTGAGCTGATTAAGAACATAACTGGGAAACTGGAATTTTAATTCAGCCAATCTCTTTAAATTATACCTTTTTTGTTGTTTATATGTGCTTTATGCCATTTCAAAATAAGGAATTTTAAGTGAGTCTCAGGATGTCGTGGTAGCCCCATGATGCATTTTTTTTTAATGCAATTTTTTTGGAGTACAACATCAAGTCTTTAGTAGGTTACCACAAAACCTTTGCCTTTCTGTTATAATATAATTTCATTTATACTTCTCTTCTTCTAAATAAATCAGTGGCATATCCAACACTCATGTGGAGAAAATTATAACGTTATCTAATGCAATACCTTAGGGAACTCATTTTTTAACAACACTGATGTATATGGTACAAATAGAATTTTCTAAAATAATCAGAGAATGTCAAAAGTTCACAAATTCTGTTTGAATGTAATCCACTGTAAAATGGAGCATGTTATGAGATTTAGTCATTGGAATCTTTATGCTAAAAGTAAACTCTGCTTCATATTCTGTGGATTTGATTTTGAGTTAAGGCAATATACTCACTTCGTACTGATATTCATATCTTTAATTTCTTTAGTACTAAGGACTGCACACTGCACATGCTATCTTTTTTTATTGTTTTCAGAGTGAGACAGTTGTTAAATAGTACTGAATTTTATTGCACAGGTTTTCATAACTGAGATTAATTGTAAAATTATAGCAGTATGGAGCTCAGCATTGCAGAAGTTTGGGAGAAAGGGCTATCCCAAAGACAGATGTTGAACTGTCAGAGTCTCACATGGTGATATTCACCTCGGTGGATTCACCCAGCCCTTGCCTTTGTCTGTTTCTTAGTTTGATGGTTCTCAGAGATGGCAATGTAAGCTGTGCCAGTTCTGCTAAGCACTTTTGCAGACAATTGTACTATTATTCAGATCAATATCACTATAAATTCTTGGTCTAAGCTTTATCTTTTACTTAAGATATTAAGCAGTCTGCCCTTGTTTTCCTAATCATGTTTCTGCCATTAATCATATCAGGTTTTTAAAAAGGCAACTATCTCAAATCTGTTACCAAGCTATCTCGCTTAGTAACTTCACCTTCTTCTTTACAGAAATAATAAAAATCATGAGCATTTTTCAACATCTGGCCACCAAACTAACAAATCTACCTGGAGCTGGCCTCAGGCTTTCCTCCTTCCTTCCTCTCCAAACAGAAGACTTGTTTCACTTCCAGTCTAAGCCCATTCCATTCATTTTGCTCTAGATCTCAAATCTCTCACACTCTCTGGATCCTCCAGAAACCGGTTAAATTAATTACCCTTTTGCTCTCCTGTACCCTCAAATGTGTCTTGTCTACTGAATTCTTATCAGAAGCATTTAAATGTGTTCAGGGATTTCTTCTTCCTCACACAAGCAATGAGGCTCACTTTCTGGTCTCTTTTTTCCCTTTATGGCCAAACTTCTGGAAAGAGATGTTTACATTCACCTCCGTCTTCTCATTCAGTAACCAATGACAATCATTTCATTAAACTCACCGCCATTTCACTAAACCTGCTCTAGAATTAGTTACATGGGCTATCCCTCTCATTAGAACACTTTCCCCATGTATTGTCTGGCATCACTCTTTCCAGATATTTCTCTAACCATTTTGATTACTTTTTCTCAGTCTCTTTTGTAGACTCCTCTTTACTTACCCAATCTGTTTTTCTCTGTGTTCTCTTTTAAATTTCAAATCATAAGTATATTCTGATCACTGCCAGATGCACGTTTACAGCTCAAAAACCTATCCTATATTTCAGACATATTTATCCACCAGCTTGCTCGACATCACCACATGGCTGTCTACCAGTACCTTAAATGAATTATGTCTTAAGCCTGCTCCTCCTGCTGTGTTCCTTTATTTAATGAACAATACCATCTACCAAATGGCCCAAACACACTAAAAAATGAGTACCATGTTTGTGTGCTCACTCTCCTTTGCCACTCTCATCTATTTAGCCACCAGGTCCTGAGGAGTGTTCCTTCTGAAGAGTTCTCAGCTGTGGCTCCTCTAGATCTAGTTACCATCAGTTCTTCTCTGGATTGCCATGACCTCTCTTGAAATATGTCTTGTTCCTTCAGTGTTGTCTTTACTATCTCTCTCTTCAAATTTAGAATTTCTAAATTCTCAACACCAGAGCTAGAGTTTTCATTCTACAATCCAACTGATTCTAGCACTTCTTAAATTAAGACTTTTGCTACTGAATGTGAGTTATCAGAGATTTGTGTAACAAGTCAGAACTCAGAGCAAGAAGAATTATTTGATCTTCATAAGTTCGGGCCCATTATTCCTTCCAAAGTACATCTGCAAGAGGAACAATGGCTCTTTCTGGGTATTTTCTAGGCTTTTAAGGGTGATCACTGTCACTGCTCTGCCCCATATTTTGGTGAATATATGTGTGTTTAAATATGTTAATACCTTCAGTAAGTCAAATATGGACAACCCATGACTCATAGCTCTTACCTATATATGAGGATTAACTAGGTAGTGTAACCCTTTGGAAGCAATCTAATTTATCTTAATTCTGTACTCTGATGTTTGTATTGTTTCCCCAGGTACTTCTTGCACCTATGACCCTATACATTAACTGTACCTCTTTTATAACATATAAAAACATTGAGTCCCAGAGATATTAATAGAGTTATCCAAAGCAAGACTAGAACCCACAGTTCCTAACTCTCAAGTCCTAAAACTCCACTGTGTATTGCTACACCTCTAGACATATAACCCAAATTTGTTCATTACTTAGGTCCTTTGCATGTGGTAGATGTACTTAAGAATTGTGTATTAGAATATTTTTGTATTCCTGATGTTTTTATTTATTTGTTAAAGGAGGAAAATGCAAACATTTTAAAAATCCAAAAAAATAATGCTTTACTGCACAATCTTTATTTAAAGAAAAATCCCTGAAATATTGTATGATATGGCTAAATTCTTATTGCTGTTAGAAAATTGTTTCTTTGTGATTTCAAAAAAAATTTTACCGGTTATTCTAAGTTTTTAGTGATCTAGTTTATCAGTATTTCAGATACAGCTAAATTGTCTAATAATTCTAAAAATGTCTTTTCTTCAAGAAAAACACAAATTTTAATAATTACAATTAAAACTAAAAAATATAAATTTCTGTGTATTCAGCAACATAAAAATTATGTAAAACAGAGAAAACTTTAGATTCTTAAAAACTTTCTTTTAACATCTTATCAGTATTTTCTAAAAAAAGACTATATGAAAGTAATATTAGAATGTTTTGAAATGTAAACAGTGAATACATTTTATTTAAAAAATTGAACATTACTTGTTTCTGGTATTATGCTCGAAATAAATAAATGGAAGCAATCAACTAGATACTGTTTGCTAAGATTCAGAGGAATATGTGTCCTGCTGACTGGCATTGATTACCCTGAATCTCTTTGTTTCTTTTTGTTTTAAAATAAAGGAGGAAATATATGTAGAGCTGATGAGTTCCTTTGCAATAATTCTCTCTGCAAACTACATTCCTGGGTGTGTGATGGAGAGGACGACTGTGGAGACAACTCTGATGAAGCCCCTGATATGTGTGGTATGGCATTTCATGTGGCTCTAGATTATACTTGTATCTTCTGATCTCATGCCCCAGCATGAATCAATGAAGTGGTGAGGTGAACTACAAATTATACCATCCTGGGGTTAGGTAGATAAAGTGTAACCACAGATACAGCTTTCGTTCAGGTAATAAAGAGATAATCCTGTTCAGAAGTTATGACTTTATAGAGACTCATCCTAATGTGAATTTGCACAAGTCAACACTATTCAGAAGAGAGATAGAGTAATTGACATTTTAATTGAATAAGATTCATATAATAATTTTGGCTTCACATGAAATTGGAGCTTTATGTTAATTTTGGAGGGGTACAGATAAGCAAAGTAAAAATACATGAATAATAAAATCTCATAGTTTCACAAGCCACCCACTAATGAAATATCTATCTATCTATCTATCATCTATCTATTAATCATCTATCTGTATATCTATCTATCCACATATCTATCTCTCTGTTTCATTACAAGTCTTAAGCACAGAACTGAAATTAGGAGTTATTTAACATTTAAACCTAAAGAATCTTAACAAAAGTTATTGTTTCTCCAAATTCAAGTTACTCTTGACTGACATTTGTCCTGTATATGCTTATGAGACCAACAAATATAAAAGTCTAATTTTAGATCAGCAGCATAAAGGATCTCTTCTATTTTAACGAACGTTTTTGGTCTCTGTTCTCATACCTTTTATCTAATCTCTGCAAGAAATGTAATTTCACCTATATTTTAAAGGAAAATGCTGCCATGTCAGATATAACTCAGTGGCACACCAGGTAAATTAAAGAAAGAAAATACAGCATGAGTGTATGTACTTACACTTTTTGTTCTATTTGTTGCATCAAGTTAAGGCAATATTTAGATATAGATGGTGGCATTTCACTACTGATGTTACAGTCGGGGAAAATACAAAAATGCAAGCAGCTTTGTTTTGTTAAGTATTTAAAAGTTGGAAAAAAAAAAAAACAGGCTTTGGAGAGTTTTTTTTTTCTATAGATAAAACTCATTACGATGAGTAATGCAACTAAGTTTCAGCTTCAGTTTTCTTTACATAATCTTCGAAATAAACTCTGGGTAATCACCAGGGATTATATTGTTTCTGAATCATAATATATTAAACAATATGAGAGCTTATCTACCAACATCAATCCAGAACCTTTTTTTTTTTTCAATTATATGACATTTTTTTCTATTCTCTATCCTATTTGACCACAAAACCAGTGAGTGGAATAGAAAATTTTCGATCATCGATGTACGACTGCAGAATCAAACTCTCCTAGAGCCACTTCCAGGGCCATGAATTGATTCTCAGGAGCATTCCACACAGCACAGATGGGAAACCTTGTAAAATCCAGATTGACTGTCTGAACATTTTTGTGTTTCTCTCAGTGAGCAATATCAACATTGAGTCAAGCTATTATGTGCCAGAAATTGTGCTAATTAGGACAAAAAAATGGTTCTTTTTGACAAGGAGATCTTATTCTGCCTGTACAAATAAAAATAATTGTGATACCCTGTATTTGCAGCAATGATAGAATTAATTAAAAGTATGGAAAAGGCAGAGAGATTCAATGAACTCTACCTAAAGAATAATACAGAAAGCTACAGCGTTGAAGGAGCTAGACTAAAAGACATCTTAAGCAATGTGAATGGCATGAGAAAAGGTATCATTCATTCATTCAATAGACATTTGTTCAGCAAGAGACTATGATTAATTTGGTGATATAATGATGAAAGAAGTGAACACGAACCCTGACCTCACAGAGCTTAGAATCTAGTGGAAGATGGATATTAATGGGAACAAAAATATATACTTACAAATTATGATACATACTATAAATAAAAAGTATGGTAATTTGTAAAAGTATGGAACAGAAAGATTTTATCAATCATAGGGTATGAGAAATAACATTTTAGTTCAGGCCTGGGAAATATTTAGCTGCTGAATAGGTGAAAAGAATTGAGGTTGGGAGTGGAAGTGTGACACAAAATTGCAGACAAAGGAAATAAGATATGTGAAGGCTCTGGGCAGGGCAAACCATGGCTTACTCAAGGAACTGAAGGATTTGTGCTCCCAGGAGTTACAGGCATTCTGGATTTACCAGATTGTAGCCAGATAAACACATTGTAAACAGGAAATAATGTAAATTGACAGTGTGTGTTTGATTTTAAAATATTTTCAACATATAAAGGATACATCAGGACATAATCCCATAGTAAGTTGAGGAGAACATGTGTTGCTTTCACACTGTCATCAAGTCAGAAAAGCTTAAATTGAACTATTGTTAAATTGGAGATCATCCGGATTTGCTTAGGATGAAACTAGAGACAGCAGAGATATCTGCAGCCTTGATTAGCTGGAAAGTAATTGGAAATACTAAGGAGTTTTAAGCAAAGGAGGTGCATGGTCATATTTAAATTTTACAAATATTGAATAGAAAGGATTGTAAGTGGTTAACAACATGGTAGTACTTTAGGCAAGCTATGCTAGTAGCTTGGGTTGAGATGGTAACAGCTTGTGCTAGCGCAATATAGACAGATTTGAATGTTATATAAGAGGCAGAAGAAACTGGATTAAATGATGGATCAGATATGGTGAATGAGAGACAGCAAGTTGTGGAGTATAATGTGTACGTTGTTTTTGCTTTGTCGTTTGAATGGAAGGGGGTCACAGGAAAGGGAACAATTTTACAAGTAAAGATTAGAAGACTGGACTGGGATGCATTTGAGGAGACATTCAAGTAGAGGTTTCAAGTAGGCATCAGATGCTTGATTCTCACACTGAAAGGAAAGAGGTAGTCTACAGATAGAAATTCGACAACCAGCATAAAATGTAATAAATACAATGGAATATTTAGGATTATGCTGTGTGGAAATAAAGATAGGGCAGGAAAGGAATTATCAAAGAATATTGAGTGACAGTAAGCCCCTAAGTGAAAATGAACTGGCAGAAGAGACTCAGGTAAGTGACCACAGAAGGCATTGCGAAAAGAAGAGTGAGGCACCACAGACACCAAAGTAATAACATGTTTCAGCAAAGATGTGATGGTTTCTGCAGAGGCAGGGGAAAATGAGTTCCAGAAAAATGATTATTTTTACGTAGGAGTCAACTATTCTTCTGTCTCTGCTCTTAAAATATAGAAATGAGTTGATAGACTACATATAGATACAGGTAGATCTGAAATTATTTAATAATACGTTAAGAAATTTCCCATCTTTGTATTTCTACTTATTTTTGTACTCTCTATATATATGCTTTCCAAGTAGCATTGATAAATATTCATACTTGGTGGTATCAGTTGACCTTGTAGTATGATCCTCTGCAACATTTCTGGCTTCCCAGATGCAGATATTGGGAGAGCAGGTGGTTTCGTTCATCTAAGTTTAGGGTTATTTTGGATAACTAAGATGAAAAAGATAAAAGGGCCAGAGAATACAGGTTATTGGGAAGAAAGTGGGTTTCTAAACTTACCTAGTACTTAGAACAGTATCCAACGTATTATAGGTTACTATAAATATTAATGGGGAGAAAAGTACAGACAACAGTCTGGTGAATAGGGAAAAGGTAGCTACATCAATGAGCTAGAGTTAAGATAAAGTGGAAGAGTCTTTGCAATGATACTGATTGGATTAAAAATCTTTTAAAAAAGAGATTGTGCTCAAAATGGGACATTCATACCAGTGGTTTCACAAATAAAGTAAATTATAGGAAACAGCAAATTTATGCTGCAACTGTTTATGCAAGTTAGTATTCTTAATGGCAAGCAACAGAAACTGCCACTGTGAATCACAAATAGAAATTTGTTGAAATCCACCAATGTGAACAACCTCCTAGGAGAGTGTTGGCTTAGTTAGGATTAGAGTAAAAGGACATAGGGTGTAAGAAATTTAAGGAGCTAAGAAACCTCATTGGCTGGTTTTCTTATGTGAATGTTGAAGCCATCTAAGATGCTAGAATGAATTTAAATGGAGATCTTAAAAGACTATGATGGAATGTGCTAGTCTTCAGTAAACTGGGGTGGAGATGATGTTTTTGAAGTTGATTAGAAAATAGCAGTGGCGTGAAGATGTAATCAAATGTCTAGCCTTCAAAATACATTATTTTGTTTTAGATTATAGAAGTAATAGTTTATTTCAGATAATAGAAAGTAAAGATAGGATAAAGCTATGGAAGCTATAGTAGGAAACTAGGATGTTTTCAAACATGAGATGACATGAGGTTTGACCAAATTAAGAGACATTCCTAAAAGATCTAAAGAGGAGGGAGTATATTTAGAAAATGGACCAAATTTCACTTAAAGCAAGGAAGTCAGGGATGGAGTGCAACTTATTTAAGGAGCTGTAATAAAGTTGTATTGCTCAAATATTGAGATGGACAAAGGATGAGTCTGCAGGATTGGCACGAACAAGATAGTGACAAGTCTATTAGGCCATTCAAAGTATCTTAAATTGTATTCTCAAGGAAATTGATAACTGTAGAACAAATGGTTACATGAATATGTTAGACTTATTTTTTTCTCATGGCTTTTTGAGGCTCTGAGAATGGAATATGAAGCTGGACACATTCAGCATATCTCTCTGCAAAAGATAATAAACGCTAAGCTATTGTAACTGGTAGAGATGGCTAGAAGATGCCAAACCTGGGGACAATAACGACAGGATTTGGTGACTACTGAGAATTGATGGTCAATGGGAGGAATACATTCGAATAATTCCAGACTTTTGGCTATGATATGCCACCAACTGAACAATGGAAATAAAGCGTGTTTGAGAACAAGAGGTTAAGACAAGATGATAAAGAGCTGAGTGATGAGCTTGTTAAATTTGAAACTGTTGAGGGGATGTCGTACAACCAATTGTGAGATGTTTGAACTAGATAGAGAATTGAAAGTCTTCAGAATGTAGTGGAAAGTAAATCAATGAGAGTGAACAAACATATATAAGCAAAGAATTCAAGTGTGAGAACATCAGGGGAACAACGACAGAGTCCTGGATAATTTCACATCTAAGGATGAAGACTAATGACAGATACTTCCTGCTTTAAGAGTGGAAGTCTTCAGATTAGATAGTAATAGAGGAGACAAATGTAAAATTCTCTGGCTTTCATTGTGGTCTTTTTAAATACACACAAAAACATGCACATTAAAAACGAATAGCTAAGATCATCTATGTGCCTCAAATACATAAATAAACCTTTGTTTACAGAGACAAAGAGTAAGAAATAAAGCTATAATACTGTTGGGATTTTTGTTTGTTTGTTTTCACTGAATGACCTATTTTCAATTTTGCGCCTGTAACATATGCTTGCTCCGGCTCTAGGCTGTGTGAAATTGCTCTTTGAGATAGCTAAGTGTCCTGCCATATTGCATAATTGTAGGCATAAATTAATTTGGTACACTAAGTAAAGTCAGCTAACATAAGGCATCTGGAAATGAGACCATAAAGTTTGGCTCTTTCTTGTTTCCTTGAAGATCCTCAGCTGTGCACATTTTTCTGTAGTTAATATATATAACTAGAATCATCACATGTTTTTCTGGTAGCCACTAGTAGGCAATTGTCATAGCAAAAAAGATATTTAGAAAAGTTAGCTTATGGATTTGAAAAGAAAGAATAAAAGAAAAAGGGAGAATGTTCTTCATAAATCAATGTACCCGAAGGAGCTTCTTTGGTTTTTCTTCTTTTTCTTCAGTCGAATTTCTTTGTCCATCCACAAGACCTTACAGATGCAGAAATAACAGAATATGCCTACAGTCTGAGCAAATGTGCAATGGGATTGATGACTGCGGGGACAACTCAGATGAAGATCACTGTAGTGGTAAATGTGTTTAATGTGAAATAATTCAGTGATGGCTACAAGGTTCTCTGATGACTGGGGGTACAAATATTTTAAAAAATATATATTTCTTATGTGGATGTCTGAGGGCATTATTTTCAGACATATGATCTTCTGACAAGGTATAAAAGTATTCCACCAGCATTTCATTTGCCTTATAGCTGTGCACCTTTATCTATAGTTCCCACTAACCACTTTATTCTAGAAAATATTAATCCCGGAGAAGCAATATAGAGATTTTAAAATGCTCCTTGTTTAAAGATCTAATTCGTTGAAGAAAGGGAGCTTATATAGATTGTATGTATATGCAATTCCTTTTTCCAAATTCTGAAGTTCAAAAACCTTTTCATGCAAAAGACTTATGTTTGCAGCAAAATCATTTGGAGACAAAGCTTGACCTGATCTAACTGGAGCCATTTAATATCATCCTCTAAAAAAATTCCACTTAGGGTAAATATTTTTTAAATTTTCTGTAGATATCAGTGTTACTTACTTGAAGTAAACATACTGTCACTTTCCTAAAATCTAAAAATTTCAGAATGTTTAAAAATTTGACCTTGAGGGCTTCAAATCAAGGATTATAAACCCATGTTTTTCATAGTAGTTAGTAAAATTTTGGAGATATTACATGCTCAATAGTGTGTTTTGATTCTGTGGAGCACTAATCATTTTTTGTATGCCTTATAGGTAAGCTGACATATAAAGCAAGGCCTTGTAAAAAGGATGAATTTGCTTGTAGTAATAAAAAATGCATCCCTATGGATCTCCAGTGTGATCGACTTGATGACTGCGGAGATGGTTCAGATGAGCAAGGATGCAGAATAGGTGAGCTTGTTTTCTGTTAAGCAAAGTACCGGGATACACAAGTCTAACTTCTGCTTGTATATGGCTAAAATTTTCTGGATGTAAATATTGCTCTTCAAAATATGCTTTACTGATGCCCTTTTTCAAAAACCTTTGCCAAAGCAACCTTAGAATACTACTTAAGTTAATTTCAGACAGTGTGAAGTGGACAAGGTTGACTTTGTAATGAGTACCCTTGTTAAACCAGAAGCTGAGAAATCAATATTCAGATATAGAAATTGATGTCAGCAATGTAATCTATATCATTTAGTAATTTGTCTTAGACAAATGTAGTGTTTTTAAATTTTATAAACAGTGATATTTAGTTGAATGGTAGTAAAGGTCTTAATTTAGTCAGTGATTTTTTAAAAAATTAATCCATTGCCAAATCATTCTTATAGAAGATGTGTTTTTTTTTTTTTTAGCTCGAGTGCCATGATACTTGAGTTATTACATCCCGATTGCGAATAGTTTATATTTAACTAATGCTTGGCATTTGACTTTTTTGTATTAGATAAAAATAATTAAATTTATGATCCTAAATTCAGTTTGCTTACAGAAGTCACACAATATTTCCTACTTTTGGATCTTTTCTTTTATTTTTATTTATGCATCTAAAATGTTCCTAACTTAGGGATGAAGCAATACCCACCAGGATATGGCTACATGTGTCTACCGTGGTATCATGCCACTGACCTATTTTAACTAATTGTAAAATATTCAAGTCAGTGGGGATAAATAATAGTTACAATTATAATAAAGCTCTCATATTTGTCAAAGATTTGATTTAAGTAACTTAGAGATAATATAATATTATCCTTATAATAATGTCCCTCTCATTTATTTAAAAGAGAAGATCTTTTAAAATGTTTTCCTGAATGGGAGATAAAGCAGTAAAATTGCAACTGCTCTCCTGGAAATTACAAGTAACTTTTTGTCTGTCCCAGAACGTTAGCTTATAAACAACCATTCTGAGCACATTACACACTCAAATGTTACGCTTCATATGTCTGTCCAGCATAAAAAAATGAAATTTAAACTGCTGATTTAGCCGACTTGCTTGAGTAACTTAGCAGTACCCTTGATTAAGTTTACAAATATTAAGCGTAGGTTAGCAATAAATGCCTCAATTTCTAAGTAGCTTATAGGAAATGCTTTGGCTCTCAGAGAAGGATGTAGTACTTATATATGGTACTGTAATAAAGATAGCCTGTCATTAGAATCATTGACTCCTGACTTACTTTAAAAAAGTATATTATAGCTTAACAGCAACCCTAAATATCAGCTGTTAGCAGCTTGGTCTAATCTGTATTTAATGTTAATGAATTCAGTTTTTATACTTCTATACATTTATAAGACATGGGGCTTATATGGAGAGAAGACCTTAACCTTATATACTCAAAAATAGTTATCTATGGAGTAATCAATACCATTTCAAATATTTTTAAAAAGTAAACTCCCCACTTCAGGAATTAGAATTATATTAGTTTTGATCATATTTTTAAATCCCAGCTCCTACTGAATATACCTGTGAAGATAATGTGAATCCATGTGGAGACGATGCATATTGTAATCAAATAAAAACATCTGTTTTCTGTCGATGTAAGCCTGGATTTCAGAGAAACATGAAAAACAGACAATGTGAAGGTAGAGTACTTTTCCTCAACAGCTTGCTCGTAAATCTTTGGGTTATGAAAAGACTCCCAAGACTTCTAAATTGTGAAATCACAGGGGATTGATTTTCATCAAAATGATGTCTATCTACGGGATACCATTTCACTTATGAGAATGAAAGTCTCTGGGGTCAAGAGCTTGTTTGTTTGTGGAGCTAAGCTAACCACGACAGAGGCTACAAAGCTTTTTCTATAGCAAATGCAGAGCTGCAGGAATTTCAATTCTATTGCTACAATACTGTTTTGAAATGCAAATAATGAAATTGCTGGTTCAGGAACTATTGGAGAATTAGTCTTGCTTCATGAAAAAAAAAATATGTTTATGATGACCCATTTCTCTTGAGTGTGGCATTTGCAATACTGAAATAGGTAAATCACATTTAGAGAGGCATGGACTTTTGTCCTAAAATCATGTTTTAAATAGATCATAATGTGTCTTTAAAAATTCAAAGTCAGGATCTACATAAATCTGTCAACTTACTTGAGATGATTTAAAAATTGAGCATGTAGGATAGCCAAAATCTTATAGTAAGTAAGTAAACATAATCTACATCAGTGTTCTAACTATAGAACCATGAAATACAGACCCATATGCACTTTCTGCAAGTTTCTCCAATAAAACTGCTATTTGTATTCATTTTCACATTATTGTAAGTACAGCCAAACTTAAAATAACTAAGTCTGGCTTATCCAGGCTAAATTCAAGTCTTCAAATGCGTTTACCTACCAGCTTGCTTTTGTTATGTCTCTCTGTGATATTTTGGGGCTAAGAAAAATGATTTTACTTTGTGTTAATCAAAATCGAATTATTTAAATGAATTGATTCTACTCACCCATAAGGGGGATAAGTGTAGTCACGTCATGTTTATCTACATTTTGAGTTATATGTGTATTTGGATTATTCGTGACATTTGATTTTTCCATTACCGTGAGACTGAAAGCTGACAATCTAGGTTTCCTGTATTTTAGTTAACAAATGAATTATCTTTCAAACTATGGTATTTATTTTTCCAAGGCTCTATCAATTACATATAAACACACACACATACACAATTCTTTCAAGATTTTAATTTCAATAACATTTGTTTTCTAATATTTATTTGTGAGTGGGTTTTTTCTGTATGTATGTACTAAATTTAGAAATTATATTCTTCAACTTTTCTTAATTTTTAATTGTATTCCACAGCAAATATAACTTGCACACTACATTCTTTATTTTAAGTTGCTGTGAATCTACTTTTTCATATTATTTTGTAGGACAAATGAGTAACTTCTGAACTCTAATAAAATGTTCATGTATTAAAATGGTTCTATTTCAGTGTCAAAGAAGGGTAAGACAACTTGGATTCTATAATCCAAAAATTTAAATGTGTTTGTACCCTTCACTTATGTATCTGAAAAAAACGCATAAGAAATTGCTGTTTGATGTTAAAGCCCAAACACTTCAATTAGAATATCTAAAGGGAAAAAAGTAAAGAGGAATGATGGAAGAAAGTAGAAGGGGATTAACAGTTGCTGAGTGCCAGGTACTGTTTTGGGTACTAGGCATGTGTGGAAATTCCTCCATTCCCTTCAAAACCTCATGATCCAGGCTTTCTAGAGATGAGGAGAAAATGATGCTTTGGGCCAGTATGGAGACAAGTGAGGAAGTTGAGGTTTTATCAAATCATGCAGAATATTGCTTATTTGGATTCTGTACCAAAGGGAAACCATAGTGACAAATAACTGCCTGTTCAAAGTTACAGATGCTGAACAAATCAGAAATATTTATTGTAATTGTGATGGCTAAGTACTGACAAGATGCATTCCACTTCATTCCTGTAAAATATTTATTAAAAACAACTAAATACAGTTTTCTGCATCTATTTACTCTACATTTCAATCAAATAGCAATGTGTTGTCCTGAAAATACTTATGTGTTCTTAGGCAAAGTATCACAGTAAAGTCAACAAAATCAGAAAACCTGAGTTTAAGCCCTGACGTTGTGATTTACAAGTGTCACTACCACTGAGCCTTAGAACATTGTTGTGTGCTACGCAAAAAATAGTTATTCGTACTGTGCTGATTCTTAAGTTCTCTTATTCAAGGGAAGGATTTATCTCACAGATTTATTAAGTAATTAGGAGATTATAAGTGATAAAATGAGGCAGGGAAAATATGCTGGTTAAACACGAAAGTAGAGGAGGTAAAGAGAGGAAGATTAGACAGTTCCCTAGAATAATCTGGCCTCAATCCTGGCTCTTCATAAGCCCTTAAAATTAGAGTCATGTGCCAACTACATGACTCTAATTAAATCACATGAATACTGCCGTGATTTATTTATTTATGCTCGTGATTTAGAGTTATGTATTCATATATAGGCATGCAGGTTTTTGCTTGCTTAATTCACATAATCTCAATACAGCCCTTCTTGTTACATAGTCACTTCATATATGTGAGTCCAGAAGTGTATTAGAGATGCACCCAAATCTTTGTTCTCTGCCAGTCATTGTGCAAAATCTGGCAATAAAAAAGGAATGTATCATAATTTATGTCCTCAAGGGACTGACATTCAAGTAGAAGATATGATGTAACCACATTCCTGAAATATAACAACAGTGTAAGAAAGAAACACCAGGAGAGCAAAGACTGGAGGAACTAGTGATGAATCATCACTCTCATATATCGTGGAGACCAAGGAAGGCTTTATTTCAGGTGGATCTTGAAAGATGAGTAGAAATTCTGTATGGAAACGTGGGCAAGGGCATTACAGGATGAAAGAATAGCCCATGATATCTGCAAAGGCATGGAGGTAGGTCATCACAAACAACTTAAAAGAAAACCTCAAGGCAGGTCTATTTGCGTGAATGGAAATCTATACAACAAACCCCAATGGGGGTACAAGTTTATCTAGTAGCAAACCTGCACTTGTATCCTTGAACTTAAAAGGTAAAAAAATAAGTAAACATTTTAAAACAGAAAAAAAGAAGCCTCAGGGAAGTTTGAAATTGATGTTTTAATATTCTAAGTGGATTAATAAAAGCAATGGCAACTCATGAATCTTCTAGCACAAACATTGTGAAAAATGATTATACTTTCACAAATATGGCACTGCAAGTCACAGATTAAACATGTGAAAGGACAATAAAAACTAGTAATACGTTAAAGAAAAATAATTTTGCTCTTTTGAAATGTGGTAAGAATAGGAGTATGAACTGGGGTTCTGATGATGCTATTTTGAGCTCTTCTTTTCTAGACCTCAATGAATGTTTGGTGTTTGGCACATGTTCCCATCAATGTATAAATGTGGAAGGATCATATAAATGTGTGTGTGACCAGAATTTTCAAGAAAGAAATAACACCTGCATAGCAAAAGGTAAGATTATAACCACTATCGCAAATACTATTACAATTTTGTTGTAAACATTTTATGGAGAAAACCATTTGCTATTTCATTTCAGCGACAGCTTCATTTCTCATAAAATAAAAATATTTTTAATGATTATTAATTTGACCAATTGGTTAGTTAATATTAATGAATTTAATCTTATATGGCTTATGGAAATGACTATGAAATACATGGTTACTGTTAAAATCACATAGTGTTCAAAACAATTTTTCAAAAGGGGTAAAAGTTTAAAAGCCAGTGTGATATAATGTGAAGTATCTCTCTTGATGGTCTGCTCTAAGGGAATATGATAAAAATTATATCCCTGGGATAAAAATAAAAGGTTAAACATTAGCATTATAAGGAGAAAAGAATTTTGAGTAAGGATTTTAAGGGTTTTAAAACAAGATCTTTCTTTCAAATTTAGAACTCCTCCACTTACTAATATTATTTTTTAAAAAGATTAAATGATAGGCCAGGTGCAGTAGCTCACGCCTGTAATCCCAGGACCTTGGGAGGCCAAGGCGAGCGGATCACGAGGTCAGGAGCTCAAGAACAGCCTGACCGACATGGTGAAACCCCGTCTCTATTAAAAATACAGAAATTAGCCAGGCGTGGTGGTGTGCACCTGTAGTCCCAGCTACTTGGGAGGCTGATGCAGAAGAATCACTTCAACCCAGGAGGCAGAGGTTGCAGTGAACCAGAATTGTGCCACTGCACTCCAGCCTGGGTGACAGAGCAAGATTCCATCTCAAAAAAAGAAAAACAAGCAAACAAACAAACAAAAAGATTAAATGATAAACTATGGTTCTGGGCAATTGTAGGTATAGATTTTAATATTCATATGTTTATGCTAAATAATATTGTAACTTCAATATTGTTAGCTGCAAGGTATAATTGGACATTATTATTATAATAAGATTGTTATTACAAGAAGAAAAGGATGACATAATGGATCAGCTGTGGGCTATAGCATTAGATATACTTGGATTGGAATCCCAGCACAGCATCTTTTAGACTCTGTGGTCTCGAGGAATTCAATAAAGTGTCTGAGCCTCAGTTCAGTTTCCATAGTTATAAGAAGTGAAGATAAACTGTGAAAGGCTTAACATAGCGTCTGACACATAATGAGCATTCATTCATTATATAATGTTAATGAGAGCTATTAACATTACAGAGCTGAAAGACATCTCATGGGGTATTATTATTATTATTTATTTGCAGAAACTGTATCTGCAATCCAACCTCTCTTTAGGGCTTCATTAATATTTTAATTGATATTTTTGGCATTTGCTTTAGGGTTTTACTTGTCAGTATGAAAATGACATTAGTATTCTGTTGTAGATGTCAAAAATTTAGAATGTTTCACTTAGCAGGATTCTAGATAATTTAGAGATTATAGAACTTTAATGTAATAAATGCTGATCTTTTTATGCTAAAAGTTAATAAGTACTTAAGATGTATAAATACAGTAAGAGGAAGATTCTTCATATCTTAATTTTTATTTCTTAGCCTAAAGTAATGATCACTCAGGTTCATAAATTAAGTACTCAGAAACTTTAGAAGCTTAATGAGTATACAACATAGCACCTGGACATTGACAATTGATGCATTATAACCTACTGTATTGTGACTTATCAAATAATAATCTCTCTTCATAAAAAGGACATCTATATGTACATAATTTCTAGCCATAAGGAAAGATTGGCACTAGAAAACCTCTATCAACAATTATTATAAATATTTAGATAAGTGGATATCAGAAATAATAAGCCAAAAGACCAAAAGATAATATAAAGCTGGTTGATTTTTGAGGAAAAACTGTATTAAGAATAATAATTCAAGATCATTTAAAAGTACAATTATTGCTTTTAACATTAGTTGAAATTTACTTTATTTTTGTATTTTATTATAATAATCTCCAGGCTCTGAAGATCAAGTTCTCTACATTGCTAATGACACTGATATCCTGGGTTTTATATATCCATTCAACTACAGTGGCGATCATCAACAAATTTCTCATATTGAACATAATTCAAGAATAACAGGGATGGATGTATATTATCAAAGAGATATGATTATTTGGAGTACTCAGTTTAATCCAGGCGGAATTTTCTACAAAAGGATCCATGGCAGAGAAAAAAGGCAAGCAAACAGTGGCTTGATTGTAAGTAAATACCATTATATATTTGAAAGTCCATACCTTTCCACCAGCTGCTTTTTAAATAAAATGTATCTATTGTAATATCTAATTATATTAATTAATATATTCAATTATTTTCCCAATATTTTCCTTGTATAGAAATAATGTATTTCTCTGCTCATTCATTATCATAGCTGTACATGACTTATTTTAGTTGTACGCTTTTATGTTTTTGCTTTAATGTATTTGACTTATATATAGTATAAGAATGCTAATGAATGATACCTAACATCTCCAGAACATCTGCTCCATAGTGCTTTACAATTATTATGAATATAAACTTTTTTATCATGAGATGAGATTGGGAAACATCACATTATTTTTACATTAGAAAGTAGTGTAATGCAGGGATAATTGTTTCTCTTCTTACATTATCATAAGTATACTTCTACTCTAGGGCAGGACATCAACTCAATGGTGTAACCATTTCTTCTGACTCCTGATAACTATATTTCTGGAAACATTCAAAACAGAAATATTGTGCACTTGTGTATGATGGACATGTTGATAATCATGGTTTTTGAGAAAAATAAACTGGAACATGTTTCAATTTATGGTTATAGATTATCCCTTTTTGTTTCAGGGCATGTCAAGTTATTGTGTGTTTTATATTTTTAAGTAACCTGGAAGGAAAATGACAGATAAATGTGTATTTTTAAAGGGCCTGGCCCATTCCTGTACAACCAAAGAGTCAAGTGCTGTCCCAGCAGGATGTAATTGAAGCTTTGTGTTTAACAAAAATTAGAGGTTCCTATCTAGAAGTCCTCCCTATTTTTTCTACTAGCATCTACCATAAACACTTGAACTACATGAATCCATTTGATGCAAGTCTGGAACATATTTTAATTTTATCAGCAGTAGATGGCAATATGCTGGTTTTAAAATAAGCTATTGTAGCTTTCAAATTCAGATTTAGATTAACTTAGATGAAACCTTTGAGTAAAAATCCATGTATACCAGAATTGTTCAATTCCTATTTCCTCGAACACAATAGCTACCATTAACTTTCGTTAGCTCTAAAACAGAAATCTGCCTGTTGAAAACATTGCTTCTATGGTAACATGGCATCTGTTGTTAATGAATGAATAAAGAGTATATACTGTGGAGTTATATTGGCTGAGTTTGAATCTTATTCCTGTTGCTTACTGGCCTCTTAGCTTCTTGGTACTCTATTTCAAGAGGTTCTAGTGATGATTCAGTTTACATATTAGTATATTAACTATATACTAAAATTAATTGTATATAATTACATGTAACTAATACATAATATACATTAATTATATGTATTTTATATACTAATGTTTAACTGTCTAGGTACATAGGAAGTACTATTTAGATGATTGCTATTAATAGTAGGATGATTCTGTTGATGGTGATTAAATTAATAACAATAATTGGCAAAATGTTCTCTGCTTCATATTAGCACATTAAACATTATTTGCAAATTACATATCTGCATTTTATAATTGATAAAGATAGACACATCTTTAATTTTGGCATAATTTTTCAAGAAAAGTCTTTGTTTTATTTAGCTTTGTGCTTTGGGGAAATTGACTGTCCTTTAGTTCAGGGGTCTCCAATCCCCAGCCCACAGACCAGTATCAGTCTGTGGCCATTAGGAACCTGATTGCACAACAGGAGGTGAGCAGCTAGTGAGGGAGCATTACCATATGAGCTCTGCACACTGTCAGAGCAGTGGTGGCATTGCATTTTCACAGGAGCACAAACCCTATTGTGAACTGTGCATGGGAGGAATCTGTGAACTGTGGATGCAAGGGATCTAGATTGCTGAGTTCCTTGTGAGAATCTAATCCCCCACCTACCCCATTCGTAGAAAAGTTGTCTTCCATGAACCTGGTCCCTGGTGCCAGAAAGGTTGGGGACCGCTGTTCTAGTGAACAGAATTCACAAAATTTATTGTAGATTTTAAGCCAAATTCACTCAATGTTTGGTAACTAAGTTTTCATTCTTATACACAGAAATGTATTTATGTATTTTACTTGAATATTTATTTATATGTGTATATTTTTACATATTTGATCTTTATTAATGTGTTATAGAATCTTTCATATTCAATGGCAAAGCTTGATTAGACTTATTTTAATAGGATATAAAACTTTATTTACTCTTTTAATGATAGTAATAACTTGTGTTATATCATCCAGACTTCTTATGTTTTGCTTTTGTTTTCACCTCTCTATTTAAATCTCTCATGACTAATAGCATTCACAAAGAAGAAAAATGGATAACAGTAGGAGTGCATTTTCTACTAAGGAGTCCATCATAACTAACTAAATGCCATAATTATAAGTTTGGAACCTCTGAGCCATGAGTTTTAGCACTATAAGCCAAATTTCCTAACAATTCTAGCCAATACATTATTTTAAAAAATACTTTAGAGCTGCACTGATAAAAGCAACTATTTAACTTTGCTTCCTAAATCTTTTTGTATTCCTGATATTTCAATATTATAAAGACAGACTAAATCTATTATTACCACCTTAGTGAGTAATATGAATTGTAGAGCAATTAACTTGAAAGATATATCACATATCTGAGTCTCAGCTTACTCATCTGAAAACAACTATAATATTGAAGTACACAATTTCTACAACTCCTTTGAGATAATAAATATATTTGATTTCCAAAAGATGTATGGCATATCATATATCTATCCAATTATTATCTGGACAATTTGTGTTTATTCCTCTGAAATCTGTCTTACGTATTAATAATTGATTTTCTATCTTATGAATTACTCTGCCATGTAAACATTGGTTCTTCTAACAGTAACACGCTAGTCATCCCTTAGTTTAATGAGCATGCAATCTAATTCATCTTGTAAGTTTTGACACAAATATTAAATAATACTGATTGAGACTTCCCCACCCCTTGAAAAATAAAACTCAAGATTTTTTCCCTAGGCTAATTATGGCACATTGATTTCTATCTCTGAATCAATAGACAAGGGTGAGAAAAATCTACAAATCAAGCTATGAATACATTAGTTGTAACTCCATTATCAGTGAACCAAATGGAAGAAGTTAGCCATGTGGTAGCAGGATGTTTTAAAAACATACTTGCAGATACTAAAAATATTGGAATAGTTCAATTCCATAAATAGTATAAAATCTGTTGCATCAAAAACCAGAAGAATATTATTCAGACAACTAAATGTTAAATGAAGTCCATTCCAAAAAAATGGTTATTTTTCCATATGATCCTGTTTCATTATTATTATTATTATTATTATTATTATTTTGGAAATTGTGAAGGGAATACTCTTCTGTAATCTATGAAAATGGTTAGAATACTAATAATTATTATAAATTTAACTTTCAAATGCAGACCAAGTTGTTTATAATTAGAAATACTTATGATATTCTAATCTTCTGGGCTATACAAAAGGAATGGATTTTTTTCCTTTAAGAAAATATATAATTTAAAACTTAAAAGAGTGACATGATTTAATTTGTACATAAGACATAATGAGACTTCCGAATTTTAATTTTAGTACCCAGAACAGAATATAACAACATTATGCAACAATTGTACATACTCTTGGGCAATTTATCATTTTTAGTATGAGATGCTATACAAAAAAGCATATGAGGGGAAACACTATAAAGTAGGTTAATGTTTGGAAAAATGCAAATAACTCTAAAAGCACAGATTAAATTTTTACCACTAAAAATCTAAATATTCCTATGCAAAATAAATACTCAGATTTATCTGATCTACTTGACTTTGAAAAGTAAATATGAGATATCATTTTGTGGTATGTTCTCATTTTTGTAAATAGAATATTCAGGATAAACATGCTTATTATTTTACTGATTAATAATCATATCTCTTTCTCAAAAAGTTGATTACGTCATTTTGTTTTCCCAAAACACTTTTAACAACATATCTATTTAAGTTATTCCTAACAGGTCTCAATTTTTAATTGAGGTATAAACCTCATACCCAATATATGAGTCTCTGTGTATCACAAGCACACACACACACACATGCACACACACATGCAAAAGTGCATAAGTGTGCATATGCACTCACAAATAAGTATGTGTGTGTGTGTGTGTGTACAAAACCACTTAAAAGTCTTGTTTCAGAACATCTGGGTACTGCTAAAAATTGATAGTCATCTGAGTTCATTCAAATCAGAGTTACAATCATTTATTATGATTACGTGGAAAAAATCTAAAGCTATCAGTTCATTACATCATTACAATTTGTGGTTTTATTGTTGTTAATTGCACAAGATAGGCACTCAATAATACATATTGACTCTGGTAAATGATAATGTAACAGTTATGATCTAGTCAAAATTTTACTAAACAAGTCAAAGAGGTATAAATTTGACACTTTGCTATCATGGATTTTTAGTTCCTTAATTAAACAGTATTTACTCATTAAAAATATACCAGTGATAATTATTATATGAGTCTACAATAAATAATGCTGAGGAAATTATTAATAAAAAGCATAGCATTTTAGGGGAAACCAGTCAAAATTTATTCATTCATACCCAAAGGCTTATTTAAAGCCTACTTGTTAGTTTTGGTGTTGGGTTTTTGGAATGCAATAATAATAGAACTGGAATCTTGCTTTCATGGAGCTTATTTTCTAGGGAAGAAAGAGAAAGTTAATTAAACTCATAGGTAGATCAATACAGAAAATTCCAATTTTTAAAAATGTATTAAAGGAATTAAATAATGAACTAAAAAAGAAAAATTCAGATAATGCAATTCCCAACATAAGATGAGTAAAGGCCAATTTGAAGAGAGAAGATTTGAGTTGTGATGAGAAAGAAGTAATATTATTTTATATATATACATGTATATGAGTTATGAGAGGACATGAATCATAAATATATATATTTATGTATATATGTTATATGCATAACATTAAATTATATGTATTATGTATATATATTTATATGTGTAGATATACATATATACATA